AGAGGGGACATGTTAGCAGTTTTCAGGTATCTAAAAGGGTGTCATAAGGAGGAGGGAGAAAACTTGTTCACCTTAGCCTCTAAGGATAGAACAAGAAGCAATGGGCTTAAACTGCAGCAAGGGAGGCCTAGGTTGGACATTAGGAAAAAGTTCCTAACTGTCAGGGTGGTTAAACACTGGAATAAATTGCCTAGGAAGGTTGTGGAATCTCCATCTCTGGAGATATTTAAGAGTAGGTTAGATAAATGTCTATCAGGGATGGTCTAGACAGTATTTGGTCCTGCCATGCGGGCAGGGGACTGGACTCGATGACCTCTCGAGGGCCCTTCCAGTCCTAGAATCTATGAATCTATGGCTCTGATCAGCCCTGCTTCAAAAAGGAAGAGGGTTGGGCTTACAGGCAGTATGGATTTGGCTCCATCCACCTGATCCACACTTCGGTTATACCCACTGGCCTTTTCTCTAGTAAATATTGGAAAGAGATTAGAGATTTGCTTCGTTGTGTACACAGATTAGAGTAATTCCCTTTCCCCATATTTGCGCCACCACCACACATATGGGTTTTTTTAAATGGTAAATGGCTCAAAAACCTTCCTTCCTTAACCTGGCATCTCATCCAAAATGCTATTTATTATCATTAATATTTTGAAAAAGAGATGGAAGGTGATGGATTGAAAGAGACTCTTCACTGTTTGATAGGGGTGCAGCAAATGACTGCATAGGATTGGATCATAACAGGGGCCCACGTTGCCCAGTATCCCATCTCCAGCAGCAGCCCAGTCCCTGCGGCTCTGAGGAAGCTGCAAGATCTCTGTTCCCAGGGAAAATTCCTTCCTGACCCCAATAGTTATAAATTGGCTCATGCCCTGAAGCATGCGGGTTTAAATCCCTCTCAGACTCTTGTCTGTTAGTTAGTATTTACTATATTAACTCTGGATGTTCTCATTACACATGGCCAGTCCTTTTGTGAACCCAGCTCAGCTCTAGACTTCAATAAGATCAAGTAGCAGTGAGTTCCATAGTCTAACCATGCACTGAATGAAAAAGCCTTTCCAAGGGAGGTCTGCACCAGCCAAACTCAGTGCCCAGGGGGAGGCAAGGTAGCCGGCGGAGGGAGGTCCAGCACTTGTTTTCACTGCACTAAGCTCCTGAGAAACTACACCGGGGCCTTTCAAAACTTCTCGTAGCGTGGGTTGCTGGCCATCGAGGTGCGCATGCTGATCAGTCAGGGAGTTCTCCTCTCCCTGCACATGATGCTCTGTCACCCAAGACCTTTCTCCTCTAAACTGCCCCCTGCATCTGCAGGCCCAAGACTTCATCTGGTCCCCTTCTGCCTTGGGCCATCCTCTCCAGCAAGCAGCTCCAGATGTTGGCTACCATCTCCAATATTACTGCTGGCCTGGGGGCCCTGATAGCAGCTCCTGTTTGGTAACACAGGCCCTTAGGGCATCCAACTAGGTTGGCTCCTCCTCCCTGCCTGCAGCTGCCTCACACTGGCTTGGGAAGGAGAGTCTGGACTAGGGGCATTTGGGAGTCAAGAGACAGTGCCATGCAACCCAGCATGCTGTCCCCTCCGATGGCCTGTGCTCTAAAAGCTGGCTCCCCCCACGCCCGCTTACACACACCCCCTTACCTTTCTAAAGAAGACACCTGGCGGGAAGAAAGAAAAGATGAGTCAGTTGCAAATAGACAGCAAATGCTGGGCATTAAATGCCAACTCTGCTTCTTAATCATGTAGGAATCGCCAGCTTGGACCAGGCCAGGAACCATCTATCCTGGGATCCTGGCACTGGCCAGCACCAGCTGCTCAGAGGAAAGTGCAGAAAACCCTGCCGTGCTGAAATAACCTGCCTCCTGGGGAAGTCCCCGCCTGACCCTTCATTAGCTCATGCCCTGGAGTATGATGGTGTCTGTCCTTGCCACAGCCTTGTTTGGTTTGTAAGATTTACTGCTCTAACTCTGGATATTCCTGTTATCCACAGGAACATCCTATCCTTGTTTGGCTTCTGCTCAGTGCTTTAGCTCCTGTGGCAATGAGTTCCAAAGGTGCCCAATGAGCCCACAACTCCACAGCATGTGAAATTTACTTCAGCATCTGAGGTATGAATGGAAATGAAACAGTAGGCCAGGGGCAGGCAAACTTTTTGGCCTGAGGGCTGCATCGGGTTTCCAAAATTGTATGGAGGGCCAGTTAGCGGAGGCTGTGCCTCCCCAAACAGCCAGGCGTGGTCCGGCCCTGCCCCCTATCCGACCCCTCCTGCTTCTCACCCCCTGATGGTCCCCCGGGACTCCTGCCCCATCCAACCCCCCTGTTCCCTGTCCCCTGACAGCCCCCAGAACCCCCGACCCTGACTGCCCCCCGCCACCCTATCCAACTCTTCCTTTCATTCCTGACTGCCCCCCCAGGACC